CACACACACACACACACACACACACACACACACACACACACACACACTGAGTGTTGACTTAGGAGGTCAAGGTTAGGTCGGTTGGCAACCAACAGAGTTGGAGCCTGGCTGTTGGGTCTCAATTTTATAGTCTACTTTCTATCGTAATGATAACACTGTACTCATTAAAGTAACTGCTGAGATCCGGGTGCACAAGACATTGCTACAACAAAGTCTGATGATGTGAAATGAGAAACAGAAAACCTACACCACTTAATTTGGAGGTAAAATTGAAAGTAACCGTACCCAAACTGTGGATGGTAAGTACATTTAAATCTAAACCAGAAGGTCAGTCTGCAAACTGTGATCAATGTTTACAAGCAGGAGGCAACCTTAAAGTGCCTTAAACCTGTATTAATGCTAATGGCATAGCGGGGCAACTCCTCATGTTGCAAAAAGAAAACTGATTTTGTAGAAGTCTATGAGAAAATGATTCTACTTCTCTCTTGAGTTATTACCTCAGTAAACATTGTAAACATGAGTTTATGCTCTCAATTGCTCGTTCCATGTCCTCTTTAATACAGCAGGATGTTGATTTCGTAAACGATGGTCCCATTTAGAGAAAATAGACGATTAAGGATGTGCTTTAGGGCGTGGCTTCCTTTTAACCGACTGTACCGCTCGGTGATGATGCAAAGTGAGGATGATTGTCTGAAATCGCTGTTTTGGTTCATTAAAGAGGGAAATATCGAGTGTTTAATATGTAGAGAATGAGGAAGCGATAAGACACATCGGTCATTACTATTGACATAACCAATTGATTTCTACAAAGGTTGTCTGCGTATAAAATGACATGCAAGTACAAATTCTGTGCAGAGACAAGTGGAGACATTTAAAAACAAAATGCATAACATGAAGACAAATACATAGCTGTAAATCACTTAGTCACTCAGCTTCGTACTGTCCTCCTCTTTTTGTGTTTCTTGTCGGTGACATTTCAGTGGACGCTATTGAGTACCATCCTTCTGGATGCATGTCATTGTGTGTAAGTGTGTGTTTGTGTATTATGCATCAGTGGCCTTTTGCTTTACCCACCATGGTTGTCATTCTCAGCGGGGGCGTGGGTGCATAGCTGCCGTTAGTCCGTGCATCTGTGACACTCCAAGCTGCTTCTCAATGTATATATATGTGTGTGTGTGTGTGTGTGTGTGTGTGTGTGTGTGTGTGTGTGTGTCCATAATACGTCCATCACCCAGGCTGTGCTAAATGTTAAACGTTTCAGGACTCACATAGAGAGACAGATAGCATTCTACTGTCCTGTCAACATAACAATGGGCTGAGAGGGCCTATGTTTGTGTGTGTGGTGGCATTGTGGGTGGTGAGGAAAATGTACAGCTCTATGCAATTTATTTTGCTCGAATTTCCTTTGTATCCGTCAGTCGTTTTGTGTCGCATATGCTTTGCTGCTTTATTTTGCATTTTTGTGTGTAGCTGCCATTGGTAATGTAGTACACACTAACAGCATTTGGAAAAGCTGCTGCTATTTGTACCCATATATCTTAATACATAATGATAGAATGTGTCCCTGCAGAGTCTTTATCAGTCACCTGAGATGGAGCCCAGCAGCACGTTGCTCTTGATGCAGCGGTAGACATAGTCGTAGCTCTGAGGTTTGAGAGGAGATCCAGTTGACAGGATGGTGTGGAGAGACTGGAGGTTGTGCGATTCCGCTGGGGCAGACAGAGAAAAAAGGGACAAATGATTAATCAAAAATGGTATGATTGACTGCTTATTTGAAAACATTTTAGCACTTTTTGAGTTCATACCAAAATTGTCAAGTACAGTTGGCATTGTCAGTTTTTTAATTCAGTTTTTAATTTAAATTAATAATCCACACACACAATTTCAACCTGTGCACAGCTGTGGCTTCATGCCCTCCTCATGTTGCGTTAAAGCTGTTTGCCACCCTGATGTGACACAGCACACACACACACACACACACACACACACACACACACACACACACACCTTTAGCATCCGTCCCGAAGGTCCATGCGTGCATGCGCTCTGTCACACACATATGCCCAATCCACAAGCCAATAGCACCCTGCAAACTAATAAGCTTCCAGCAACCGACCCTCACCCCATAAAAACACACAGAGACACACAAACACAAACACGGTGGGAACTCTTGCTACCCCCCACCGTGCCTCCAGGTGTCCGGTCCAAATGTCAGCCCAGGGAAAAGGGCCCCTCCGCTGGGGCAGCTAGTGAAGAAGCTCCCCCTACCCTTCCCAGCCCACTGGAGGCACGCACGCACGCAC